GGGTCATCTTTAGGATGTCAATTTATCTGGATTAATCGTGATAATTAACTAAATAACCATAATAAATCCACAGCTACTGTGTGACTGGTCAGATAAAAAATAGATAGCTGTAAAAATTAATAATTCTCTCAGTTTGTCTCTGCTTTTCTCAAATGACCACACACTGGCCTCGACTGATATTTGAATGGGCAGGCCCTCCACAGTGTTGTTACAGTGAGCCATCAGGTGTATGTGTGAGTAAGTGTGTGTGTGTGTGTGTGTGTGTGTTGGGAGGGGTCGCCACTAGACCCCAAGAGCTCGGTGCGCCACTTGCTTATTAAACGGCGCGGACGGAAGCCTTACCTTCTGCGGAGGAGAGCCCACGACCATTTCCACGTAGTATCCTTGTCCGGACTTGCCTCTCAGATTGTCGATCATGTTGACGAAATTGATGCTACTCGGTGCTGCATCCCTTCGCCTCCGTGCGGCAGAGGGCGGCGATGACGGTAAACGTTCACTGCGAGCGCCTTGCCGCAATGGAACGCGCATGGCCAGAGGCAGGCCCGAAGCATCCAGCGCGGATTGACCGACGCTGAGCCAGTACAAAGTCAACGACATGATCAGATTTCTCAAATAGCGACAATTCGACCTTGACACCTCCATGTCGCAGGATTGAGCTTTCACGCACTCTTTCTAACGGGGCATGCCGTCTGCAGCAGCAATATGCCGAAGATCAGAAGGAATGGGTCACGGACAAGATGATGGATGAATCCACTGAGTTTTAACTCCAGATGAGCAAGCTTTTAAAAATAAATACAAACAAAAAAACTATGAAAACAAAACAAATAAATGTGTTAATTCACACAAAAAACCCTGATGATACACACATTGCAGCATCCCTTCTGTCATGTGCTGTTTCAACAAACCTAGGTCACGCGCAGTTTCCTCTTTAAATTACCATGATAAAAACGATACCGTCGTCGGATGAAAAAAAAAACAGGCAGCAGAATTCATATTCTGCATCATATTCCTATCTCGATCCGTGTTATCCCGCCCCCCGCCCCCCAAATTTGGACATCCTTCTACGATAACCTAAACCTTTAAGCTGCAACAGCAAAGAAGCAAAGCAGCTTAACTTCCTGTAATGGTTTTTCAAAATAAGGTAGTAGCAGAAATCTGTTTCAAATGTTGTCCAATTTGACTCTATGATACACACAAAGAAAGTAAGGAAGGTTTCTGTACCATCGCAGAAGAAAACAAATATCCTCCAGAGGAAATACTAAAACAAAACCACACATAATTGGCTGCCAATGAATCAGTAAGAACATAGTCAACCTCTTTCCCAGGAATACTTTTATCACACTCACTACATTCTACATTCTCACACACACTGGCTTTATTTCGGATCTCAACGTCGCTTTCGAGTTTCATGTCAACACAACACCAAAGATGCATTCTTTAATCTGCGAAATATGTTTCCGCTAATTAATGACAATTATTATTACGTAATGACGCTTGTACTGGGTAAATAAAATAACAGAAGGACACGAAAGACCGCCTCCAAAGGGAGCTATCGAACCTTTAATCTTTCTTCACACATTCATACTGTCAAACTCCGCCAACAACCACACAGTTAAAAAAAATACACAGACATCAACCAACCTGCCATAACAATAATTAATTAGTTTGTGAAGCAGAAAAACAACAAAGAAAATACAGTACCGACTCAGTACGCCATGTTAACCGACACACCATGTATATATCAAAGGCATATCTGTCACTGATAAAAAACAAACAAACAACAACAACACAAACTCCTTGAAATACACAGGCTGCATCACAGCTCAGCTGCAGTGTGTGAATCCCCGAAGCACATGGAAGACATGCTGCCAAGAATTAGTTCCCAGATGCAAAGTGGCTGTTATGGTCCCCAAGCTATTTAGCATCTGTTTATTCACAGCTCATGCAGCAGCAAAGTCAGCCTTCAGGGGGCGCTTTTGCAGTGTTGTTGGATGTAGTAATGAGGTAGTACTGTGAGGTCTGTCTGTTTCTAGGGTAATCAGTGTCACCGCTCTCACCTGTGATCACCTGTTCATTAGTCTCACTGGTGCCACCTGGTGTCCTGAGTATATATATTTCTCTCTCCCTCACTCTTGTTTTTGTCAGATTGTTGTGATGTTGTGTGCGGTGGTCAATGACGCCTGTTTATCGTTCTTCCTGTGTTCTGTTCTTTGTTTTTACCTGGTTGTGTTCCAGTGAGTTTTTATTATCTAAACAAACAGCTAATGCTACTTGAACATCTTTACATCGTCACAAATGTTAGTTACGTTGCCTCTCGTATTTCTCTTCATTTAAGTGGTGTGCCCACTGTATTGGAATGGCTAGTTGTTATAAACTGTGTGTTTTATTCCTTTTTAAATGCTATTTAAAGAGAGTCAATGTCCAAACGCTTGTAGAGCAGGGACTCTAGTAGTTTAATCAATCCAAAAATAAGGACCAACAAGAAACAGCCAAAATAGTTTTATTGTAGAATTTATTTTAAGATGCAGGACGTCATGTTTTTTAATCAGTTACATTCAGTGACCCACATCACATATCTTATCATGTTTTAAAGCATGTTTACCTTCTGTATGATTCCAGATATGTTCTACACAGATTGACAGGACGGTATTGTTAATGAATCCTCAGTGGCATGTTACAAATCACTCCTGGTTATAGAGAACTTCAACCTGGTTCACTCACAACAGAATTTGTTTCAATCAGGTAAACTTGCCCCATGTTTCTGGGACAAAAAACACACAAGCACTGTGACATTTCTACTGTGAGCGAATCGGTGCTCTACAACAACAGGGTCCAGTTGATTTTCACTTCCTTCCCATTTTAGTTCCCTATGATTGCATCCATCGCCAACATACATGTTGTTAAATCATCTGGCAGTATTTCACTGGATCACAGAGGCTTACTGCTGGAGCGCTTTGTTCTTTTTTTTGCCAAGCTTCAGAGAAAAGGCCTCTGTTCTGTCTTCTGGTGGACACCACGTTGATAACCTCCTGGAATTTTAAACCATAACAACACACACACACACACACACACATAGTATTATCTTGTCATACCAAAGCCAACCGAGTGCATTAACAGGTTTCTCTTTTAATTCTTTACTATTAAGTGGTCACATGATTTGTGTGTATAACATATGCATTGCGATTCACAGTATGCATCTTGTCATTTTGATTTTTCTTACTTCAAATATATATCTGTTGTTGCTTCTCACTCATACTATCCCTTGTCTTCTTTACTGTTACAACAACTACTCCTGATGCCTCCAGGTTCCACCCAAAATCAGCAGGACCCATGTCCATCACATGTGCAGCATTCTCTCTAGAACTCCTTCTACTGAAATGGACGAGTGGTTCAAACTATATGATTATATCAAAGAAAACAACTCATTTGACTTGGTTATCCCTCACCACATCACCGACCCCATCAACCAGCTCAACTGTTACTGTTAGCCAGACCTAATTATTACCTCTTTCTAATTATTTGCGTGCTGATGTCAATATTGTCCTTCAGTCCCTGATTACTAATTCAATTAGTTTAAACACATTCGTTGTCTAATGTTACAGGCCTGGATTTACATATTCTATATATCTATATGTTTGTCAAAGTATAATCTAAATTATGAATCAGAAAAACATCTTGTAAACAGTCACCAAGAGACAAATGTTATATGAAGACGGTTTATTACATTTTTGTCTTTGACAAATAAATCCTCAGGTCAAGCTGTACAGAATAACAAGTACTGATATTGTGAAGGAGATAAATATTAGTAAAAAAACAATATAATAAAACACAGTAATAATGAAATCAATAGCCTTTTCTAATTGGATTGAATACTTCATATGAATAAGTACTCCGAATGAAGTCATCTCAAGACACACAGTGTGTGATCCTGGATATGCGGTGGACGTCGTGCTGATTTTTGGTAGCTCCCGGAGTCATCTTGTGAAAAAAAAAGCATCATGGTAAATTCAAAATAAATATGTTTTGATTGGTGTGAGTGTGAGTTGACCTGTTTTCCTAGTTTATTCTATATTACTGTCTTTTTCCCACTTGTTTTTTCTTCACCATCCTCTACCACTGGCTGCCTTTCTGGCTACCTTCAAACATTTCTTCCTTTTCTCTTCCTAGATGGTCTTCCACCGACACTAGCCATTGGTCAAGAGTGTTCATGGAGTGAACTAGTCATTTTCCTGATCTGCAAATTTGTTTTGGCACAAGTTTTAACCCTTGCTGATGAAACCCTTGTCCAGACCTTGGACCTACCACGAGGAGGAGTTCAGTGGCTGGGCTTTGATTTTTTTTTTGATCTTTGAGTTGACACAGGTTTGAAAAAACACGACTTTAATTTTACATTTAATATTTAAATGAAGTATAACATTTCCCCTTAAAGGCTCTAGTTTAACAGCAACAATAATTTGCTGCCATAGGACATAAAGAGAATCAATGTTTTCCAAATGACTAAGTTTAGCTGTGACTTGACTTCATGTGAAAGATTCTTACCAGTTCTTGGAGTCTGAAGTCCTGAAGCCTTTTGCAAATGGGTTGCTAGCTATTTTTAGCTGGGTAATCTGGGAGACAAAGACATACACAGTAACCTCATCAATTATTATAGTGTATTATGAACATTAATTAAAAACATGCAAACTATGACAACAGTATTTTGTTTAATAGCTGTGCAACAACAGTCTGATCACTTTGGCAAAGTAAGAATCTATAGTAGTAATTTTACACGTTAGACCTCTCCTCTTCCTCCACAAATCTGACTCCTGATTCTTTCTTCTTGTCACTCTCGTCACCTCACAGGCAGGCCCTGATCCTATTGTCTTAATCACCATTAATCATCATAATTGATAATCAATAATCCCCACCACTGCCAAAATACCTGCCCAGTGTGTGACTTCCTCTTCTAAAATTTAACCTTAGTATAAAGTTTAATTTCAATTTATAATTCAAAAGTCCAAATGTGTTTTGTGAAATTGGGCTAAACAAATTAAATGACCTTGACTTTCGTTCTACAACAACACTTTCTTCAACCTGTGGGACGTGGATCTTACCCGATGGTTTTGATAAGCAGTGACAGCAATGAAGCGTGTCTCTGGAAAGGAAAAAGAAACAAAGTTTCTCTGTGCATTCAAGTGGCTGTTGGGTGTCGGATCGACGTACACCACATGGAAGCGTGGCTGGTAACGATGCATGGAATTTAATATAATCTAGGAAAAAGAGGAAATAGTTCAAATGGAAGTCAGACGAAACAGTTAAAAAAACACAATACTATATGACACTTTAACAAAGCAGCCTCATTGGAAATATGTACTAACATGTCCGTTGTCATCAAGCAAGTTATTCGTGAGTTTTAGAGTGTCAAACGACACTGTCTGTTTCATCCACTGTGACCCTGAGGCTGGAGAGTCTGGGTGGAAATGCATCCTGCTGGGGGCTGCGATGTCTGCCTGCCCTGCCACCAACCAGGATGAGCTGTGGAAGGCATATCTAAGGTGTGCACACACACACACATACACCCACACACAAAGAGAAACAAACATTTATTTTATATTGGGCAATAACCAAACAATCTGTGTTGCAAATTAAACATTGAATAGTTGCGCTGTGTGGATCTAACCTGTATCTCTTATCGTCCACAGGGATGAAGTCCATTAGCAAAATATATTCAGCAGTAGGATCCATTCCAGATATTTGAACTTGAAATGTTGGAAACATCCTTCTGCAGTAAATCAAATTTCAAGGAAAAGGTGAAAAGGTGACCTACAAACTGTAAAAACTGTAAAAAAAGGCTACAAATATTAAACTGATTGGAACAACGGTGACACCTGATCTGAACCAAAAGGCCAAGAAGGCTAGAATATCAAATAAAGAAAGTGTTTTTCTTACCTTCCAGCTTTGGTAACAATCATTTCTGTACAAAGCTGGTTAAATTGTTGCCAAAGTTCAAGCATCTCCAGCTGGACGCTTATCCCGCAGACCTGGGAGGCCTTAGTCCTGGGGTAGGAACCCTCCGTGGGACAGCAGTGGACGGATAGTTGATAGTTCCAAGATATCTGAGGAACTGAGCAGAGGAAACCTTATGTTCATTTGCACTGTTTTATCAGTGCACAAAATAGTGTTACTCCACAAAAAGAGCACAAACTACTTACTGTCCATAATTTGACAGAGATTCTGAAAATGATTTTTTTTAAAGTCACTCCAAGCTTTGAACAATTTCTACTGCATCAAGACCATCACCTCTTGATGCAACAGTAATATGTTTTTTTTCTTTCTTGTTCCCTGTTTACTGTCCCTGGCATACATGCAGCTCAAAGCAGGAGTAGCTGATGTGGGCAGGAGCATGGTGGTTTTATACACCAAACTCTCACTGGGGACTGCCAAGGCATCCTCATCCATTACAATGTTCACCCTGCCATTGACATGCATTAATAACAGCTGCTCATACACACACACACACATACACACACATTCCTGTTCCTATTATTGCACAAAATAGCCCGAAACCTTGACTCAAGCTGTATTTGGCCAATCAGTCACACAGCAACAACATCCTAATAAGTGGAGTGTTAAAGGGTGTGAACAGATGGAGTCTTTAGCATATATAAATATATATATAGCATAGGCCAGATCAATACAGACTGTTTCCCTTTACTATGTGTGTGTCAACATATATGTACATATATATATATATATATATATATACCATTACACACCTGCTATGCATCAGTTGTATGCTGTTAACATTGTCTTTTAAACCTGTGACTTGTGCTGTGTAACACGTCTTGACAATATGTCTGTGCTTATGTTTAAGTTCTCGCTGTGTAACACGTCTTGACAATATGTCACATTTTAGCTTTACAACCCTAACATGTCTGTTAGCAGATGTGAAAGTATTTATAATGATGTGTGTGTGTGTGCAGCTAGCTATTAAATGTCACAGTGTTGAAGTGTGTTGTAGCCCGAGGGAACCAGCCAATAAATAATAAAGGTGCTCTAGTGAACTAATTTATCACTCCTGTCATGATCACAGGCAGAAATAACTCAATTTATTCACATTTCCAACAAAGATCTGTTCCTGGCTTTTATTTGAAAATTGAACTGACAGTATCCTGGTGCACATGAGTCAAGAGTCAGAGGCCAGAGTAGTATAAAGAGTCAAATGTTTATTGAGTTGTATTCAATCAAGCCACCACCTAAAGTTGTGTGGTCATTCACATACAATCCCTAAACATGATGTTACCATCAGTGCCTTGGCACATTTAAAGCATTAGTATGTGCAGATTATGTGTCTGTGTGTATTTGATCCTTCTAGTGCCCGAGTAGGAACACAGAAGGAGACAGAGAACGACAGTCCTGTCATTTGAAATACAGAAAAAGATGGGATAGACATGGGCCAGATGTGTGGGTGGAGTTAGTTACATGTTAGATTAGGTTTACTGAGGTTCTGCGGGTTTGTTGAAGGTGGCGCTGGCGACCTCGATGATATGGTCAAACTTTTCCCTGATTTCCTTATATAAAGGTGAAACCTTGTCTTTCAGGGCCTGCATGTCTTCAACAGTGAGGGATTTTGCTTGACCGTAGGCTTTGTTTAGCATCTCATTATATTCCTCCACATAGGGGGAGACCACCTCCTTCAGTTGTGCAATACGCGCATTCAGCTTCTTGACTGCAGACTCAATCATTGGTTCCAGGGCTTTCTTGGTCTCCTCCACGTTGGACTCAAAGTGAGCATGCAGCTGTTCCATAGCTGGTTCGAGCTTGATCTTCAAAGCATCCATCTCAGCAGCGTGCCTATCCTGGTAATCTTTTATGATGGGCTCCATGATGATACGGTACTCTTCAAGGTGCTCGTCAATGAGGGTCTTCAGCTTTTGACGCTGAGGCTCCAATTCAGTCTTCAGGGAATCAATGTCATTCTTGATGGACTCACGGAGCTCAGCAGTGGCCTCAGCGAGTGTTGAAACAACGCTGTCTGTAACTGGGGCAACAGAGCTTTGCCAGAGCTTAAGCTGATTGTGAATTTCATCCAGGTATAGAGACGCCGTGACCCTGATGTAAAACAGAATGTTTGTTAATAATTGATAGAAATGTTTTTTTGAGAACAGCAAAATGGGATAACAACGCAGAGTACGAAGACTGTAGACTGAGCATTTGAGAAGATGAAGCCTTACTTCAGGTCGCTGTATTCTGTGTCATCAAGCTGGTCTAAGGCTCTTTTGGTGCTTTCCCTTATTTGGGTCAGGTAGACATCCGCAGCAGCTCGGAGGTGCTGCAGCTGAGAGGGGATCTCAGCCTCTGGCAGAGTAGCAGCCTGGCAGCCTAAACCAACACATACAGCCAGAAATCAACGTAACGAATAGAGAGTAAAAAAAACAAAGTATAATACATATGTAATAAAATCTTCTTTTCTTTTTGGATATCTGTGAAGGGGCGCAGGTTCCATCTGAATACGTACCAATGGCCAGCAGAAGGGTGACAGCCAATGCAACACACTTCATGGTGGTAGCCTTAAGGGAGGATAAAAACAAATGATTACTAGGTAAAAATGTTTGACTTGACCACACCTAATAACTCACATTTAATTAGTGCTGAAATAATTTAAACACCCCAACTAAGAATGACAATGGAGCTAAACAATAAAAAAGACTGTAACTAAAAACGATGAGTTTCTGTATAATACAGAGGAAACAGCTGCAAAGATATTTTAAAAACATGCTACAAAGTTGGCACATGTCTCAAAAACTACAGAAATCCTGTAGCTATAGTTTGCCTTTACCTAGAGAACAAGTTTGTCTAAATGAAACTGAGAGCTTGAAGTTTTCTAGCTGACAAAAAGTTCGGCAGCGACCAGTGTTTTAGTCAGAGCTACGGCGATTATAAGGCTTACCTGGAGGAGCTGGTGACAAGAGTGAACAACTCTAGCTAAAGCTCACTTTTATAGTGCTGGGTAGGGATAAAACCACAGGGGGGAATTAGGGTTGTCTGCGTGGAGGTGGACCTCACCCCCGGCTGTCTCTCTCTGTGGGAGGACTGGGTTGAAGGTTCAATGGTCACCTGCTGCTAACAGATAACTGCACTCCTACAGACAGTCACAGATGCAACTATTAAGAAGTCACATGTGTCCAAACATTTACCAAAGTACAACCCTTGTTATCCAGGACAAGATTTCACCTGCTTTATCAAGGTCACCTTCCTGATAGCTATATCTGTCCTTTTCTTTGGCCAGTTCTTTAAAGTTGCAGTAAAGACATGATTAAAGACACGAAGACAGGCACTTTATCTGGTAGATAGTGGTGAATAGAAATAATTGATTTTACTGAGGGCTATTAGTAAGTACGACTAATGTTTTTTTCATATCAAAACGACAAAAAAACATGCAACAAATGGTGACTTGATGCAAATGGTAATGTATCACAAAAACTGGAAAATCACATACAGTCAATCTCACACACACACACACACACACACACACACACGAGTCAATCAAGTTGAGAGTGCATATCACAGCAGACTTAACTTAGATAACAAAAAAAAATGTTCCAGTTGTGTGATGACTGATAGGTCAAAGTTTGATGTGTGCCATGCTGTTGTTTGTTGTCCTATCAGGGGAGGACTTTGATCTTCTGGCTTCATGAAGTTTGAGGAATACAATTGATTATAGAACAGTGTTTCCCAACCTTCTTTGAGCATGGTCTCTATCCTCCAAAAAGAAATGTACCAGAATGCTTTCTGGGATATTTCCTGTATTTCATGTATTGAAATTGAATGTAATTAAAATATAATGATGTTCTAGTTCTGTTTTACTCACAGTTTACTTGCTCAGTATCAATCCCTGCCTTGCTTAGTTCTTGTTCTTGTCACTGTCACATTGTTGCAAAGACAAATGTTTTTAAAATTTTTTACTAATAATTAATCGTTTTCAGACCAATTAGGTGGAATTTGATCACTTTCCATGGTGGACCTTGTGATCTCCTGTGGCACAGTGGATGGGAAACACCACTGAGAGATCGGTGACATTATGCACCAAATAAGATTAGCTGATGAACTCAAAACGCAAAACAATTTCAATTAATGTTTTACCCCAAATCCTCACACACACACACACAGTGTGTGATAGTCAGTATTCCAAAGCAACGTGTGTTCATAACCATTCAAGGGAATTTGTTCTCAGCAATGAAAGTTGGATAATAAAGAGAATACTGGAAACAAGAAAAAAAGAACAAAAACACTTGTGGGGGCTATTACTGCGGGTATTATCATCAACATAGCTCAATAGGGAGTCAGACTAATGATATGCAGGGAAGATGAGGTGAATCAAGAGTGAATATGTTACAAATACAAGGCCCCCCCTGACTCGGTCTGAGCTGCCCCCTGCTGACAGTCTTTAAACTTCAAAGGACCTATGATTTTCTGTCAGCACACACATTCTGGGTTCTGGGTAGAAGTCTTATACGCCCATAGTTTCACCTTTATTCCTTGGGCCTTCAGATTACTGGTGAACCATGGCCTCATCCAGATCATCATTTGACACAACAATGGTACCTTTACAGACCGTTCTCTGTCATGCAGTTAGTTAAGACCCATTCAGTGGCCAGTCCTGTAGTGTTTCATTGACCCCTTGTATCCACCTCCTATATGTCCCTGCAGACGTAGGCAGCCTTTGAAATGCAGGGGTGGATTGCATAGTGAGGGATGGCACTAATCCAGCACATTAGCATACTGTAGATCTAAAGATTCACTATGTGGAGACAACGGGGGAGTTAGATCTCAATTCAGCTTATTTAAATTCTCTTACATGCTGAAGCCAGTTAGCATGCAAACTCCCAGTGAAAAAAGCAGACTTGGTACACTGGTACAGCCCAGAGATAATTAAACACTCAGAGCAAACAAATGACTCTTATCAAATTTGTAACCTTTGAGATGGGTTGCAATGTACAAAGTCACTGATCCATCCATGTGGACTGAGTCATAATTGTTATCAACAGGGCTTAAGAACTGCTGAGTGGCAGGACAACTAATTGCTGTAGTTGCATGTTGAATGTAGCTTTAATCTTTTCTAAGCATTACGTACAAGGTACATGTCAAGCAATCAGAACAGCTTTTGCAGGTTTCTCTTTACATTTTTGTAATAAACACTGAGCTGTGTTACATTTTAATTTAACGAAAATATAAGATTTTTTAACTCTTTAAATTTTAATATTTTTGAAGTTTTTAACAAATGAATGTAAGCCCACTCAAATTATTATAGCTCTGCAACATGCTAATTGGAATTTATGGAATTTATGTTCATTGAGTTTAATTTTCAGATTATGATATTGACCTAATATCCCATTTACCTGACAGCAGCATTTGCACACTTGATTGATGTTGGCGCCTGGATTCTGAATGTAATCCAACTCACTAATCATATAACCTACTACATCATGGAAATCCACCAGATATTTCACATGTTTTTAAGCTCTGAGGGTTGGGAAGGGTTTTCAAGAAATAGCAGGATTTCTTGAAAACCTTGAAAATGAAGTGACATCTCTGTAAACACATGGAACGAGCATCAAAGTCTGTTCATAGCAACTCCTTTAAGAGAGACAGGAGAGCAACATATGTTGTTAGAAATCTATATCTTAAGGTTGATCTACAGTCAGTTTTGATTGTGACAAACAAACCAGCAGACGTGTTAGGTATTTAAGCAGCAAATCGACCATTTCATCAGCCGCTGACTGAGGTTCAAAGGTCAAACCTTTGTTCCAGCTGCCTCCATTATGGAACAGCTCTAGTAAATCTGCAGGGAATGTTATCTCAGCTGTGAATAACAGTGTAGATCATTGCCTGATTTCTCAATACAGCACAGCCCTGAAGGCTTCTAAAGTATAGTGACGTCCTACAGTGTCAGATCTTTTGCAGTTGCTCTTTCTAAAATTCAGATATTTGGCCCACAGCCTCATCTCTTATCTACAACTTATAGCTAGTAAAAAAAAATTTTTTTTTTTTACATGATGATGCTACACCTTTACACTTTCATGTTTAGTTTTATGTTAAAATGTTTAAAATTATTACATAAGTTAATGTAAATTAATTAAAATTTGGTTGATACGATATGCAGATAGATTTAAAGTTATTTAGTTTTCTTCATTGATTTTTTAACTGGTCTCTTTTTGTCATTTTTTTCTAGTTAGGAAGAAGAAAAAAATACTAATCAAATGAAGTCTACTAGACAGATGTTCTGCTACTGTGACATCACAGATCAGTGCAAACGTACAGTGCAACTGTAATAAAAATTATATTCTACATTTACATCTTTCTAAGTCCAAGTCCAGACATTTTATGAGCTTTTCCAGACACTTCACTGTCCAAAATATTTGACTTTGGACAATATGAAGACACAAGAGGAAAAAAACAAGAGTCCGTTTTTTCAGAGCTGGTGCTAAGATTTACTTCGTTCGCTACCGACCTTTCACTAATAATAATATTACGAGAGACAGCAGCATGACGTAAAATGCATATATTGTATAATCTGTTGAAGTGGTTTAGAATAAGCGTCTAGGTTTATGTCTTTCGCAAATCCTATCTTCACTGGAAACAGGAAACGGAAATGACTTTCCTGTGTTTTTTCTTCTTCACGGCTATATCATTAAGCTAACTCCCCGATGCTAGCTCAACGACGAAAGTACTCTGTTTACGACGCAATTATTATGTAAATACTTTTTCGTAAATATAATATCGTTAGTGTTTAATTACATACAGCTACAGTGCAGGTCCTCGAGTTTCAAGAGTGTTATAATGGACCGTGTTTTGTGGATGTAACTTTCCGACTATTATAAAACATAAACATTAATTTATCTCTCAGTTTGTTTACGTACATGGCTCAACGCAGTGACGACTGAAATGGTACAGACAGAAATGGTTGAGGTTAAAATATTTACAGCACACATGGTCCCCCCCTTTTAACTAATTTAATAAATGTGTTTACAGCAATAATGACGGCAGTTCTTATAGGAGACCAGTTAATCCTTGAGGAAGACTATGATGAGAACTATATACCTTCGGAAAAAGGTAGGGAAGGAATCAGCTTGTTTGGTCCACGTGTTTATGTTTTGTTTGTTTTTGTTGTTTTTGTTGTTTTTATTATTAAAATGTCAGATTTACCGATCGAAGTCTATTGTAGTAGTCAGTGTGAGTATGGTCAGTTCCCATACTGACTGCTTGTAAGAAAGTAGAAAAAACAGGTGAAATAAATGCATCAACTTGGTGAAGTAACTAACAACAGATAAGCAAAACTACTCTCCTAATTACATTTTCTCAAAGGAAACTCAGGGTTTAGATTCTCTATTTTATCTGGTGAGCTCTAGATTTCATAGCTCTCCTGCTCCTGCTTGACCTTCTTGCCGAAATCCTACAGTGATGATTGCCCAGCTTTCACACACATGTAAAGTGATGAATAAAGTGACATTCCTACAAGTCAAAAGGTCAGGTTAAGGGGGGCACCAAAAGATTTCAACATTTACTTAAGTATGTTAAAAGATTTGGCAGTGTTTTATAGGCTTTGGCACTGTGTCATGTTTTGTATTAATATTTCTAACAAAACTACATATTTTATATTTTTCATGGTAGTGTTGAAATTTGATGATTTAAAGATTAGAGGTGCACTGATTGCAATTTTTGGGCTGATTGCGATTTTCTGATTTTTCTTTTGTGGTATGTTTGAATAGCCAGTAGCAGTTATTGCATATTCAATTTTTTCCAATTGACAGCATTCACAAAGTGTGAGTGCACCCTTAGACCATTGCAGAGGTACATAAGACCGGTTTTACGGAAAATAATTAAGAATTAATCCCACGTAATTAAGGGAATGTTTGCTGATTGATTGCTCGCTCTCCTGGTAAAAAAATAGTATTCTATCTTTGACCCAAATCCTCCCTGTGTAATACATTGTTAAATTGAGAAAATTATACTTGTAGGTTTTGTTAATATAAATGTGTGTATATTATGTCAACAGAATTCCACTCTAGTCTTCACCCTGTAAAAAAAGGTGATCCAATTGTTGTCTGCTACGACTATATTATCTTTTATAATCTCATATTATTTTCTTTTTGTCTTGTCAGAGATCCATGAGTATGCCAGAGAGATTGGCATTGATCCAGACCATGAAACAGAACTCTTATGGCTAGCCAGGGAGGGCATAGTTGCCCCCTTGCCTCCTGAATGGAAACCTTGGTAAGGAATGGCCAACTAGAACAGAGCAGAACACAGCATACATCTGAAAAATGATTTGATTTGTAAAAGTTGTCAAATTTGTTTATTTAATTGTTGCTATTTGTTTGTGCTAATTATCTGTTGGGAGCATACCATGTGACATTAAACAAATTCATAATGAATGAATGTTGTTCAAATCAAAAATGGCGTCTGATTCACTTTCCTTAAGTGCAGGAAGATAGCTGGAAAGATAGATTTATCATTTATTTGACAGCTAGACCAAGAACATGTTGAGGTATAAAGACACTAGGCTGACATTTAGGCTAGATTCATCAGGACACAGGTGAGACAGGAAGGCACAGAGTGGAGAACAGGGGAAGAAACAGGTTTGACAAAAAGGCTACTACAAGAGAGGCTGAGAGAAATTTTAATAGTCAAAAAATACAAATGTACAAAGAGTACAATAACAAACTACATTTCATTGTACATGAACAAGTATAGTTTGATCAAATCAAATAGTGAGGTATGGTTAGAAGACATGTTGTTTTGGTAGTGACGCTTCAGTGATGTGATCTTTCCCCCTCCATCTCTTTCCTGTTTGTTCTAGCCAAGATTTGACAGGTGAAATCTACTATTTTAACTTCTCCACGGGGCAGTCCACATGGGATCACCCGTGTGATGAACATTACCGTCGCCTGGTTATCCAGGAAAGGGACATTGTCCACCACACAGCTGCTGCAAAGAGCTCAGAGGCAAAGAAGGATGAGAAGAATAAAAAAGAAAAAAAGGCAAAGAAGGGGACAAGAAAGAAAAAGGAGGCCGTACAGACCACTAAAGTAAGAAACTATTGAATTGTTTTTAATATGACATTTTTTATTTTCATGTTTGTACTGCGTTAAAAATATAGTAGGTTTGTACTGTATTGTATTTTTCTCTCAATCATATTTCCGTCCAACCCTCATAACCCTCTAATGTATTGATTCTCTTTTATTTACACTTTCAAAGAAATCAGAATGTTATAAATAGGAAATTGATGGTGATGTTAGGATGACTTGTGAGGTGTAAACTTGTTTCTTGTAGAGAGTATGATCATTTCAAGTGCTTGTATAACACAAAGTTACATGCTAATGCTAATATCATTTTAACCTACTTTAGACATTGCCTTCAGCCGTTGGAATTTCACCTTCTACCGTGGTTAACCTGGCACCTCTGCGAGGCACAAATGCCTCTGGATTTGGAAATTCCACCCTTCCTTTAGGGTCCAAAAGAAGCCTTGAGAGGTTGGAAACCATCAAGTCGTTCATAGTGGTATGATCAACAATCAATTTTCTTAAAAGATTTTTTTCTACATTATCTCGAGCTTTGATGGTAATGTCAGGAGAGTCGGGTTTAAAAATGTGTCTTCGCGCCTCAGGTTAGTGAGACCAGTGACAGGGCTTCACTGAAGAGGTTGGAACCAGAGCTGCAGGGCTCAGCTCTGTCTGCAGATAACAGCCCAGAACCACTATCCCAACAGGTATACTGTATTTCTGGAACAATAATGTTTATATTTTGACATATATTTAAAGGTAGCACCTGCCCTGAAAAAGATAGAGAGTAGAAAGACTACAGACAGGTGCTTTCTTAGCCACAGAAATGGGACTAATTGTAATAAGGACATGCAGATGAAGAGGAGGAACCAAATGCACAGAAGCACAATGAAATGAATAAAAGCTAAAAAAAAGTTCATGTAAAGCACTTGAAGTTAATAAAAAATATTTGGTCAACCATTACCATCTCCATTTCTAACATTTTAACAATTCGAATTTAGATGTGTTTACAGTGCAGATCACATCATTGGCACTGCAGTCTCACTGTCCTGTGTTTGTATTATAATATATTCTTGGTAAAGACTGTTTGTTGATTGTTGTTTCTTTTATCTGTGATAGTCTCCTTATGACCAGAAACACGTGGAGGAGCCCTCATCCTCAGTGGATATTAAGGTAGTAACATCATAAGAACACGTTTTCACAGAACATTATGTAAATGTCTATTCTGTTTCCAATTACTGCTTGTAAAATCAACCTGTTTTGTTCCTTTTTGTTATAGCTGTCAGAGAGGGACTTGGACATTAACAGTCTTTCTGCTGCTGGTTTGCTGGATAAATATGGCAGAGTGGAGACTGGAGAAGTGGCAGAGAATACTGCCAACAGGTTTGTTCCTGTCTCTGGGGTAACAGAAAGTTGACTGGCTGTCTTTATGTTGTAATGTAGTGTTAAGCATACACAGTGATTTTATTAACCGCACTAATTCTTTACAAAATCAGTATTGTGTGGCATTTGGATGTTATTTTTTACCTTTGGTATTTCCCCTAATCTGTCCATTTAGTAAATGTTGTCATTCTTTTCTGTCTAAATCTAATTCTCTGCTTAAAAAAGTGTAGTGATCGACATTGCTGCTACTACTAATTGAAACACATGGGTGAATTCATTCACAAAAATAGTTTTCTCATATAAATTTGAAATACGTTTAAGTAGGCCTTATACTTGATATTTCTTTTCCCTCCTCAGGTTTTTCCTTACTGAAGACAAAGACCATGTTGATGAAGTTGATCAACCTGTCCACCAACAGTCTGTCTCCCACTCGTCCTCTCTTTCCTGTGCCTCCCTGTCAGACCAACACTTGGAGCTCTGTTCCACAGAATCTCTGGGAATTCAAAGGCTCAAAATCCAATCTTCTGATGAAGATCCTGAAATCCAGAGAAAAAAGGATGAGACAGAGAAGGCAGAGAGAGAGGAGTGGAATCAGACGACTGAAGTGACAGAAGATGACAAAAAAAACGAAAAGGTCAAACTGCAGGTGGAAGATGAAAGAAGGCTGTTGATATTAGACAAGACAAAGACTTTGTGTCACGTCCAAAATGATCTGGAGAACGATGAAGAGGAACCAGAGAGAAAACTCAGTTTGGAAAGGGAAGAAGAATTAAGGTACAGTAGGAAACTTATTGTCCTTTTTTCCAGAGGCTTTTTAAAATGAGCCTTATTTTACTGCATTTGTTTCTCAATTTTGTTGCAGCTGTTCCTACTTACCTAAAGTACTTTTCTGTACAGTTGTTGTTTCATCTAGTTGTCCTATATACTACTTTTACCATTGAAGTAAAGTATTCTAATGCTTTCTTGCTATTCTTTTATAGAGAGTGTTATCTTTGTCTGTATGACTTTGATTTAGCTGCAGGGTGTGATCAACACAGCTGCCCTGCTCTGCCACAGCACATTTTCCCTTCTATAGATTGCCTTCTTGATAAAAGTATAAACAAAGTATCAACAGTTTAGGCGATGACCAGCCCAAACAGGTATCTCTTGTTGGCACACTTACAATTAATTAGGATTTGCTCATGTTTCATGTCTCCCCAGTGCTCTTCAAGAGCATCTACAGTCTACAAGTAGAGATGAGGAGGTCTGTTACGCTGAGGAGTATGACACATCGCTCAAGAAGCTCCGAGAATCTGTCCATGAGGATGGAGGGATCCAGACACAAGGGCTCAGGTTGGACATACGTACAGTATATCCTGATCAGTTGAAGTGGATTAAAATGTTATCTGATATACTTTAAATCACAAGTTCATATACACATCTAATATATGGTTCTAATAGTGTTTCAATGAATCTTTAGTGAAGATAGCTGCAGTCATTCCTACCTTATTTGTTCAGTGTAGTTTTTACTTTTCCCTTAAATTATTCAATTTCTCTTATTTTTTAAAAAAAGTATTCCCTTAAATATTCCCAAAAAGTGTTTTGACCTGTGTCTTTTCCACCTTCTTTGTGCTTCAAATAATTCGAATGACAAATTTGAGCAGAGCATTTGTCATCAGTTACAACACAACTGCAGTTATATATTTGAACATAAGAGAAAAAAAACTATTTGACCTAGTGTACTTCTTGTGTAGGCCTTATACTTTATATTTCTTTTCCCTCCTCAGGTTTATGCTTACTGAAGACAAAGACCATGCTGATGAAGTTGACCAACCTGTCCACCAACAGTCTGTCTCCCACTCGTCCTCTCTTTCCTGTGCCTCCCTGTCAGACCAACACTTGGAGCTCTGTTCCACAGAATCTCTGGGAATTCAAAGGATCAAACCAGTGAAAGAACGTCTGATCCAATCTTCTGATGAAGATCCTGAAATCCAGAGAAAAAAGGATGAGACAGAGAAGGCAGAGAGAGAGGAGTGGAATCAGACGACTGAAGTGACAGAAGATGACAAAAAAAACGAAAAGGTCAAACTGCAGGTGGAAGATGAAAGAAGGCTGTTGATATTAGACAAGACAAAGACTTTGTGTCACGTCCAAAATGATCAGAAGAACGATGAAGAGGAACCAGAGAGAAAACTCAGTGTGACAATTGAAGGAAGATTAAGGTACAGTAGACAAATGTAGTGGAAAACATCCTCGTACCTGTCCAAATCTTTAAAGTGTTACACTTCCTCTGTTTTAAAAATGAATCTCCACTCTTTCACTTCAATCATTTTACATTTTTTTTCTATCTTACATTTTTTTTAACATAATGTATGGTTTATCGTGTGTCCTTTAGGGAGAAGAGTGATGTCATTCCAAAAGAGTTAAGAATCCCCCTAAAGAATGAAAAGTCTTCAGAATGTAACAGACATTATAGTCAAAAGTTGCAGAATATTGAACGTCTAAAGACAAAGATGGAAGAAAAACTACAGGTTGAAAGGAGGCGACGACTTGAAAAACAGAGAGGGAAACTGAATTTTCTGAACCTGAAGGTAACTGTGGACTAAGTTTTCTTAGAGACTATGAAAACCATTTTAGCCTTCTCTGGACTTATGCAATGGAAAATATAAAAGGGAATAGTGGATGTTCTCTGCTGTTTCTGTTGAATAAATATAATAATAATTATTAAAAACATTCGGTGCAGCAGGGTGTAGTCTACAGAGGGAGATTTGAATTTCAAATTCATTTCAGTTCATTTTATCTTTTATCTTTTGTGTTATCTAATAAAAAGGAGACTACATCACAGCCTGAACAACATCTCGCAGACTATCAAAGAAAGGTGAGTACTCTAACCATCACATGATTCAGACAGAAATGTGGGATTTTTGTCTGAATTATTTGTCTCTATACATTTTTAATGTTTCACTTGCTATGTTTCTGAGTGCAGCTTGCTGATGTGCTTCAAGAAGTTCGGGAGGAAGTGCAATGTGATCATGAGAAACAACTAGAGCAACTTAGAAAGGATCACAGGAAGGAGTTGGACAAAATCAGACATAAGTACCTGGAAGAGGTGAGAAGATGTTTGATTCTCATGATGAGCTATTGTCCATCTTAGCAGGTTGACTTTGTACACTGTGCAAAAACAAATAATATAATAATAGATAACTAATAATATAATGTAATATAACTAATAATATAATTATAAAATAATACAATATAAATATAATTAAAGCTATAAGCAGTGACTAGACATCCTTCAGTTTGTGCAGGCTTAGACTGTGGTTTCAGTAGACATTCTGTATGTAACACTGTTTGGGAACATATCAGACAAGAATACATTTAATCACATCTGAGATCAGAACATAATTCATACAACCACTTTTATGTTGGATGTTTTTTAAAAAAAATCCTATTTGTAGTTTTATTTTATATAAAAACTGATAGGTTCACACAGGCCATACAAATATAAACAATTTGACTTGACATGATTGGGACAGATAAAGACTATAATCCTCAGTAAGCAGCTTGCTTTGAATAATGACTCATGTACTAAAGTGCAGTGGAAACACAAACAAACATTTGTCCTATTAAAGGTTAGTATTACTTAGAGGCTGTGGTGCCTTCCAGGGATTTTGTCGTGGCATGGCCTGGTGTAGTCACCCACAGTACAAACAGTAGGTAGATGACTGAGTCACTGCATTTTCTATAAGTACCTTTAAAACCATTCCAAACTGTGTTGACTTTAGAATTCTATTTATTCATAGTAAACTTTCAGACTGGTGCTCTGCTAGTTTTGACTAACATGTGTGTTTTAGGAGGCTGCACAGAGGGAGATCTTGCTGTCTAAGCTGCAGGAAGACAAAGCATGTCTCCAGGCCTACTATGCCGTTCAGCTTGAGAGCTTCAAGCTGCATCTGAACAAGTTAATTCAAAACTCCCAGTTTACACACTTGCGCAAGGTGAGGTACTATAGGCTCCAGTATTCTTTAAGTCATGTGTTCATGAGCTGACACTGTTTTATGTTAATGTTGCTTTTATCACACTGTGGTGTGAAATACAGGTTTAACTCAAATAATTAATAAACAAAGAGAGCAGAAGCAGAAGTCACACATGTTATCAGCCACTATTGCTCAGTCTTTACCCCTTTTCTTTTATATTAAACTTTCTTTTACGTTATAATAAAATTGCATTTACGTAGTTACTTAAAGTACAAGGTTCATAACAGATAACAGATTAGATCTCAAGAACAACTTGGTAAGCTTCCAGACCTGACTAACGTTGTTGTTGTTATTGTAATTACCCAGGAATTATTGTCTGAACATCTGAACAGGATCACAGTGTGCCCAGTACACTTTAAAATATCTTATAAAAAGTTTATTTCTTCAACACTCACATATTTCTTTTGTCTCTTTCTTGCATTAAATATTGTCAGTGTAGCAATATGGCATCAAACATCCTAAAACTAATGTCCTATATTGTCCTGCAGGAATCTGAACTACAGACTAAGACAGACATGTTGAATCCAAAAGAAGAAGAACTGGAAACACACAAGAGCAAGCTCCAGACCAAGGTGTGAAAGAACATGTGTGACATTTCTGAGCTGACCACATGGACCAGGAGTTGGTGGAGACCTGGATAAGACTAGAGAGTTCTCTGACATTAGTTATTCTCATGCACCTCTCATTTTAAAGGCTTTACTACAGCTGATGAAGGAGAGAGATGAGCTGAAGATGGAGCTCAAAAGGATAAGAAAGGAGAAACCTCCCACACATCACCTTCAGAGTGACCAGGAGACGGACTCGAGGACCAAGACTGAGAACCAGCTTAGGGACAAGAGGGACAAAGCCAGTGACAGGACCAGGAGAGCAGTAGAGGCCCAAGATGAACTGGAGAGCAAAATCAAGTTGTTGGAGGAGACATGTGACTGCCTGAGTCAAAGAGTCAGGTAATGTTTAAAGTTTAAAACTATTTGTCCAAGTTGACAGTTAATTTCAGTTTTCTGTGTCTTTATGATTCATTTTGTTTTACGTGTTTCAGTTAGTGTTTTACATTCTGTGGGTAATTTGTTATTTAAATTATATATATTCTATACTTTCTACCATTACAATCCTTTTCTCGAGACATTTGAGGTTGTATGTATGTAATTAAAAAAATATTATTAAATAGTTTTATTTGAGTGTCAGTAAAACAGAAAATACACCAAAAATGTCAGCAATAATATTGTATATGCTCATTATGACAACAGAATAAAAACTGCCTCTTTAAACTACATTGATAACCCGGAATTGTAGGTTGGCAGAAGACAGTTGGTAACTGGGCTTTTCATTTGTCTAGTGAGTTGGAAGTTGGAAGTTCTCACCAAAGAGAAGAACCTAAAGAGGACAAAGAGAAGAAAGAAAGAGCACCAGTGCCCCCCAGTGACCAAAGAGACCCAGCACTTAATGTAGAAGATTTAGACAACTCCCCAGTACATGACTGCCAGGAAGGCCAGGATGGGTAAGGAGAACTAGGCTACACAACACGAAATACACCTTTAGTTTAGAAATAAATATTTGCCAGAATGCATTTGAGCTCTCACACATTTCACAATCACAGTATTTCCCATAGTACGGTACTGTCTCACAGTACTACAGTTTGATTTTAGATACTTGTTGCGTATGATGGCAGGATATGTATAAAATCGGTGAATGTTTTGTGATTCAGTAACCTGCTTTGTGAGGTGTGAAATCCGTGATTCTAATTATTGTGTGTGTCCATGTGTCCAGGTTCAGACAGTTCATTTCTGCACAGGCCACCTCTATTCAGGAAACAAAAAGGTTGCTGCAGCGGGGGGTCCATCAGCTGACACAGAGACAGGCAGCCCGGCCAGAAGTTCTTTTGACCAGGTCCTCTGATGACATCATTTGTGAAAGTGGTGTGACTGATGAAGTACTTAAAAACCTCCTACAGGTATACCATACTGTAGTACACACAAAACGTTGACGTGTTGACTGTTGAGATGGGGTTGAAAGAAAATGTTTCCCTGTTGGTTTTCCCCTCCCTTTTCTCAGGAGGCCAGAAATATAGTCGACCTGGAGCAGACAGTCGAAGATGGTACCACTCTTCTGCCACAGACAGAAACGTTACTTCAGTTCATGAAGAGCTCTGTGGCCAATGAGGTAAGACACAAACATGAGGCTGGTGTAGTTTAATAATTAAGTTAGCTAAAGTAGAAAAACTAATGGTGTTGAGAATTTGTCTTCTTTTCTGTTCACTTACTGCTTTGTTAACTTATTAATTAGGTTTTAAAAGCATTTTTAGTTTTAATTTACTTGAGCAAACCTAAAAACTTTGCACAATTGTACATGTACATTTTAAACTTATGGGACAAATTAAAATTCACTCTTCGAAACAAAAGTTGAGATATACATTTTTATGTTTTGTACATAATTCTATCATTTGGATTAGTCACCAATAAATACAGTTGTCAAACGATCTACCTTCTGTTCAAGTTTTATATTTGTTGTCATAATTACGTATCTGTTTTTCTGGATTAATGAGGCTTAATTCCAACCACAATGAATCCAAACACTATTGTGCTCAGTATTATATGCAGAATATTATATTTATCTGTTTGGAATGCTGGTCTTTTTCCCTGGTTGAGGATCTGTCTCGGCATCTAGAAAAAGGAAGTGTGATGTTCAGTGATCCTGAATCAGATTCCAGCAACACCTCTGGCCCAGGTAATATGTACTGGTAACATAGAAAATTTAAAAAATGACAGTGTTTCAACTGGGATGACTGAATAGTTTTAACTCATTCTTGTTTTGTTGTTCTGTAATCAGGAAGTCATCCAGCAGTCCCAGCCAAAGTTGAGGAGCTAGCCAAGTCCTTAAAGAAGATCTCGTGTCAGCTCAACACTGTTCTGGGTGCTCTGGGCTCAGTGGCTGAGAGGCAACAAAATACCACTCAGATTTACCCAACCATGTTTTTGTCCCAGCCTCAGCATCAGTCTCAGCATCAGCCTCAGCCTCAGCATCAGCATCACTCCGTGTCTTTCTCTAACCCAGTCATTCCACAGTTGAACACTTTTTTGTCCAGCCCCTCTGCCACTGCTGCCCGTCCTAGGTCCGTGGATTCCTGGTTGTTTCAGACTAAGGAAATCGACACAGCTCTGTTGAACCCCCACTGTGTACTGAGGTCCTCTGAAGATGTCATCAGCAAAAGATGGAGCCAGGTTTTTCCTGGTATGACCATTTGGACTCACTGGCTCATCAAGAGCTTCATTATTTTACACAATGTTTTTTTTTATTTTGATACTAATCTGTACATCTTTAATCCAGGAACAGTGACACACTCAGACGTATCCAGCTCAACTCAGTCCAGATCTAACTACTTACACACTTCTCTAAGGTAAGGTATAAACACTGTGACTCAGTGACACAATGATATGAATGTACTCACAACATGCACAACTATGCACATCCTTAGTTCCAGCCAAAACCCGTGGTTCGTGGCCCAGCCATTAAACAAAGCCAGTCGGAAAATGAAGAGGTCAGGCAGCAGCAGCTGGAGCCTAGAAAAGCACAAGGGAGTCACCATCAGCCATCCTTTGTTCTCACACACACTCACACACACACCAACAGTAATGTTTCCAGGACCAAAAAGTCCTACAGGAGGAGGAGTTTTAAACTGATGAATGTTTTTGTTTTTATTCATAAGGGTGAAAATAATAATGTATCTATGTAATGATATATATATATATATATATGGATGTATATGTGTGTGTATATTAATTCTGTTCTGGCCTTGACTTGACTCTCTCCAGACCTCAGTTAACTCATCACACTTCGTCCTCCAGGAGCAGCTTGGTCCAGCTGGGCCTGGACAATAACAATGAGATTAAAGTCTATCATTCCAGTGGGCACACAGTCAAGTGAAGTTTCTCAGCCGTGGTCTGTGGGGAATATTATTTATTAGTTGGCCATTCCCTGCTCTTTATATGAGGGTCTGTTTTAGATGTAACACATCCATCCTGTCCATCTCAGGGAGGAGAGAAGTCAGACTGACAGGTTTCTGACCCTCTCCGCAGACTTTCAACAGCTCTCATAGCTGCTCTCACTGGTGAATGACATTGGATCCAGCCTCCTTGCCCAGTCTTTCTTGCACAAAAGCCCTTGCCAGCAGGAAGTTTGGTCTCCATTTGGAATACCTTTTCCCAAACACACTCTTCCTGATTTCCTAAAGATGATGAACCCCTCCCCTTTATTGGTTACAAATTCATGTCTTACTTCGTGGTTAGACAGGGTTACTGTCCCAAGTTTACTGGCACTTCTTTCCTGACTGGTGTCGTTGAATGCTGGAACTCTCCAGATGAACATTTGTATCAAACACCTAGGAACCATTTTTGTATCAGCGAATTGATTCTCAATAAATACAACTTTTTGTCAGCCGTCTTCTTTCTTTGGAGTCTTTTCGCCTCCACTAGAACATTTTGGAGAAAAGGTCTGCAGAGAAAACCTTGTTCAACAAAGAAAGTTTTCAAAACTAAAGGATTGACTTTTGTAAAACAGTTTTTTTTATTTTTTTATTTCTCTTTTATTTTACAGTGTGTATGAGAGAGCACAAAGCCTGTAGGCCGAGCTCACTAACGGATTTGACCAAAGAA